TCCAAATGCTTTCATCACTCAAATGTCCTTTTAAAAATAGTCGACAATGGTTATTACCTGGACAATGCTGTCAATTTCTGTAGTCTGCAGAAAATCTTCCCACAGATAGAAAAGTAGAGCATTGGGCACCTACCTCAAAAAAAAAAAAAAAAAAAACAATTTCCCTGCCACCCTATATATTTTTCATCCTGACAACACTTTCATTAAGGAGGAAATAGCCGTCAACAATTCAAAGCCAAATGGAAATCAACTTCACAGAAAGAGGAGCCAGGAATTTAATGGCTTTCTGGGGAAAATATAGGGTGAGGAATTTGGAGCAATTCTGGTTCAACCCTTCTAATACAGAAGGTAGTTTCTCAGAATATATCTCTAGAAGGCCCCAGACCATGATAATCCTCCTGGAAGTGAGACAGAAGAATGACCCACCCAGGGGCTTCTCACACACCCAAAAAGCTGCTTTCCTGGTCAATGGAGAGTTGAGCATTTCAGGAAAATGCAGCTTCTCTCATGGAGCCCTGGAATATGTCTTGGGACTGATGAATTATCATGGTGTGCTACTGGGGCATAGGCTCCTTCAAAAATCTAGGTTTAATCCTATAGCAGCAAGGCTGAGTAGAAGGGTCAGGAAATGCAATAGGATGGGGGGATTTTAGTACTGCCTCCAAGAACTGGCCTTAATAGAGAACACTGAATAGTCACAGTTAGTTAGTTAACATGTTTTTTGTTTTGTTGTTTTTCCCCCCAGGTATAAGCTCAAATTGATTAAAGATTTAGTGGGCAGCTGGCTTACTTTTCAAAGGATGGGGAAAAGTACATATACCTGGTGCAAAGGACAGACATTAGTGGTGTCTCTCCCGCTGCTTTCCCCTAAGCTTCCACAGTTCTTAACAGCCACCTTCACAATGAGTGGATTCACCTGAAGGGTCTGGCTTGGACAGTGCAGAGGTAGTATTCCATGAATATACCAATGACTCTTTAATCTCTAGTAAAGAATTGGTATGGAATTCACATTTTAAGGACAGCCTAAATTCAAGGGAATAGATTATTCAAAATGTTTTTTAAGCCCAAGGTTTAGGAAGAAGTTTCAATTCTTGTCCATTTTGGTTAAAATATATATATATATTATTATCAATTTTAATTCCTAGCAGAACTGGCTAGTGGGACCTAAGTTGGAGGATGATCTCCTCTTCTCATTAGACTAGTACTGTGGATATGATTGATCACAATAACATCTTTCAATTCCTCGTCAGATTCTCTGGACTCAATTTCTGAGTAACTTTTTAGCTGACATGCTCAGGGAGCACTCATTACAATCAATTCTTAAAAATTGTCACAGGTGAGCCCCCAAACAGGACTTCTCTGCCTTCTGCTGGGAGATGCTCTCCCTATGTGCCCTGGCCTATCCTTCCTTCAGCTTGACCCACTGAGAATAACTCAGTTTAGGATACCCAGCCCTCAAAGCCAGAAATCACATTTCCCTAGTTCACCCAGTGTGTGCTTCAATTCAGTTAAAAGCTACAGTCCTGTTACCCCCATTAAATCATACCAAAAATATTCTGGAATTAGTCCAGAACTGATGGGAGAATAAAAATTGCAGAAATTTTTTTTATTTTTAACAAGTATTTTTATGCCACAGATGTCTCTCCTGCTGAATTCAGACTTTTAAATCTTCAGTACAGAGCATTCAATAAACAGATGATTTCCTTCTCTTTATTAAAAAATATATAATTTCCCACTTCCCTGCATTTATGACTGGAGTTAGCCTTGTGATAATTTTTTATGATCTAATATGCTTTAGAGGGTAACTTTGCAGACACATTTCTAATTAGCTTTCTACTGCAGCACTAAAATAAGCTTCTAGTTTGAAATAAGACAGACCCATCTCTCAATAAGCACAAAAAGACTAAAAATCCTCAATGGAGAATAAACATTCAAAGAACCCTGGGCCAAGAAACATACCTTGAGTACATTCACCCAAACACAGGCAGACAATTGTGGCTTAAATATGGAGTACTGAACTGCTGGCTAGAAAGTTGTTTTTCATAATAAGTTCCTCCCAAATTTGAGAGTATTTACTGTATTTCTCTATAAGCAGAAGTCTAATTATTTTTATATAGGGGTTACCTAAACAAATCTTGTTCCCTGGACATAATGTGGTGATTACTACCTGAGAAACATAACTGGGATTCCAGGAGCTTAAAGGAAAAGGCATACTGTGCTATGGGCTAGAAGGCAATGCATTGTCCCTGTCACCAAACTTGTGGTGTGAGCTCATAAAAACAAAATGTACCCCTTTAACTCCTTCCTGGCTTATGTCAATTCAAGGTCGGGGGAGGGGCAAAATAAAATAATGATTTGCCACTCCTGCCTTCTTGGAGTGTACCTTGAATCAGCTCCTGACAACCTGCGTGCACCTATTGCAGTTGCTTGTAAAGGTCTGGATGCTCCTGGGTACAGCTACCAATAAATGCTAAATTCAATTGCTGTTTCTGGTGTTTAGTAAAATAGATGGAGAAAGAAGCTCTGGCTACTTCTTGGTCTGTCTCATTGCCCTAGAGTTTCAATCAAGGCTCTTCACTTGGTTGCCTAAAACCAAACTATCCTGACTGTCCAATTCACCCTTTTAAATTCATTTCCAGGGTAAAAGTCAGCTTCCTGCTCCTCCAAGAAAACAGTTTGGGATTCTGCTGGCAAATAACTGTGGTATGACAATCCCTGGAAAAACTGCCTTGGGTCATAGCCACCAGCCTTTTGTTTTTGTGGTGCGTGTGGATTCTAATCCCCAACACACAAAACAACTTTAGATCAGAGAAAGAAAAAAAAAATGGGTTTGTAAATCGCCTTCTCTATTTTATTGTTCACATTTGGTATTGTTTGGAGTGAAATTGGAAAAATGGTCTTCTTTCTCTGAATTGCCAAAAGGCATTCAGGTAATGAAGTCTGTAACTAAACGGTAATTGAATCAGCATAATTTGCACACTGAACGGTTTTCAAATGCTCCCAGTTTACAATTAAAGGAGAATTAATGCGCTTGTTGTTGAGAACGCAGCGCATTAGAATAAATCCAGCACTGTTGTTGTAATGAGTGGAAAACGGTTTAACTGCCAACAAACACATTTAAAATTTAACACAACATATTGATTTCACTTCTGCTTTTGATAGATTATTTTCCAGAATATCGAAATAACTTGCTCCAAGAAATATACTGAACCTCAGCTGCTAGCCTTTGCCCTGTGTATTCCCACAGTTCAAGGATGTAAGAATGGTCCTGAGGTTCTGGTCACGCGTAAAGGTATGCAGAGAAAAGGAGCAGGAGGGTTTCCATAATCCAGGAAATGGTTAATATTTTCCCCCTGTAGCTTTCACTTTGCAGTCCCTCCCCTTTCTCTCAATAAATAATTTCTGTATTTCCTCTGGCCAAACTTTCAGTCCTGTCTCTCGGCTCTCAATGTCAGTGGGTTTACTGGACACAGGTGGGGGCATGAAAGATTGAAGATGGGAAATGGGAAGGACACTTTTTGCATTCCGTCTGCGTTCCAGCCAGGGAAGGTACAGACTTCGGTGACAGTCAGGAAGACTATTCTTTTGGATTGGCTGCCCGGGCTTTCACCTGTTTACCCCAAGGTGTCCTGTAGGCGAGGACACTGACACGCAGCGCCCTCTGGCGTCCGCGACGGCCATGGTCAGGCGATAAAAGTGCAAAGACAGGCAACATTGAGGGTTCCTGGATTGAAGCTGACGCCCGTTAAATGCACACACCCTCCCATACATATTCACACACACGTATTCTTACACACTCACACAGAGTTCACACAACTAGCAGCCCTGATATCACATGCACCAGGGCAACAGCTTGGAAACGTTCTCAGTTGCAGGAATGGCAATTCTTTGGCTCCCAGACTTGTGGATTCTGAAACTCTTGGGATTAAAGAACAGCACCCACTCTCATCCCATTTATCCGGCCCCATCCGAGATCCCAAACCACCCCAGCACTCCTTACCCCTAATTAGAACACACTGAGCCGTCAGTGTGCTGTGGAGGCGCACAGGTGGGCAAATGGGGGTGGGTGCCCTGGGCACAACTTCTACAGCAGGGTGTGAGTGCGCCTGGCCCTCCCTGAAACTACACCCTAGAAATTGCACTCTGCGTCTCGGTTCCGCGAGGTGTCCACAGCTACCAATCCACTGCCACCACAATAAAGCGCTTCTGGCCACTCCCTCCCTCCCCCAGGTACAACAATGTGCAAAGTCCAGACCCCCTAAAAACGGCTCTAGGAAAACTGGGACTATGGCTTTGCCTGGAACTCTCTTCCTGACAGCATCTGCCATTCCCTAACAAGGGTCTTGGCACTGGAACTGGGGTTCCAGTTCGGTTATTTGGTGTAAAAGAAATGAGATTGGGAAAAGGAGGAGAGGTAGCCACTACATGTTTATCAGAGTATCTCTGACCTAACTATTTGATCGCTTGTGATGCTCCTGATAGTTAAACTTGTCCAGGCTCAACCCTACAAGTCAAAAAGTTACCTGCACTTCTTTATGTGCACACGTCCCAACTGGGGGGTGAGGGGTGGGGAGGCGGCTAAGTGGGTAGATTCACTTTCAAAGTCACAGAGCAGATTCAGATTCGTGCTCCCCACTCTCCCCCTCTATTTCCTTTCATTTAAACTCTGTGGATGAATCCGAGAGTTCATGTCTTCTCTGCCCTCTCCTGTCATAAAGCAACCCGTCCCACTATCTCTTGGGTTTCTGGGTGTCTAGTGTGCCCTAAGCGCAGATCGGAATCACTCGCAGGAGAGGGGGGAACTGGAGCAGGAAATGGGGATGGGATCCCCGAAAAATCCCGCAGGGATCCGGAGACCAGCTTGCCAAAGTTGTTCCAACACAGTCGCTAGGAACGCTGCTCTCGCTGAACGGGCGGTCTCACCCTCCTCCCGCGCCCCCAGCTGCTCGGCCTCGCGACCAGGGTGGGATTGCGGGGGCGCGGGATCAGCAGCGACTTACCAAGTAGACGGTGGGCTGCAGGAGGAGAAGCACGTACCAGCACGCAGCCTGCATCCTCCCGCGTCTCAAACTTCCTCGGCGTTGCCTTCGCTGAGTCTTTGTTCCTTCAAAAACATAGATCCACCTGACATCCACTTTACAGAGCAAGGAGCGCTCTCAGCAGCCTAGATATAAATGAAATTAGACATCCCATGACCACGCGGGCAAGGTTAGGCTTGGCTACCAAGCAAGGAAAGGGGGTCGTGGCGGGGAGGGGTGAACCAAAAAACCCGGAGGCGGGGGCAGGAAAAATTGAAAAGCGAGTAAATCCAGCGCCTGAAAGCAGCAAGCGCTACGTCTGCAAGCAGGCGGGCAGGAGGTTGGGAAGATGAGGGGCTCCTTGCGCCTTGCGCTCCGCGCTCCTCGGATGCGAGTTCCCGGGCGGTGGATACAGGAGGTGGCAGGGCGCAGAGCCGCGTGCAGGCTGGTTTGGAGCCCAAGTGTCTCTGGCAGCGAGACCTGCCCTAGTGTTTGATGGTGGGGCGGCTGGGACTAAACGCGGTGGCTGGTTCTTTGCCAGCCCTGGCAGTGCTCACACACGTACACACCAGTAGAGAGAGATGGAGAGAGAGAGAGAGAGAGAGAGAGAGAGAGAGAGAGAGAGAGAGAGAGAGAGAGAGACTGAACGAGGAGGGGCACGGAAGAGGAAAGGGGCTAGGTAGAGCTGACCAAGATTAGGTGCTGGGTGTCTCCACACATTCCGTGGGGTGGGGGTGGGGAAAGAGAGTGTAACATTTGCAAACAGGAAAGCCAGGCTCAGTTTACCCATTGGAGCACACTGCACCTACAGAAACACACACACACACACACACACACACCCCTCTGGCACTACTTTTATTCAAGCCAAGGGACACAGTCAGTGGTAACTTCTAGAGTACAAATGGGCCCGGGTCTGTGAGGGTCACCCACCTAGCGCGCTCTATGCCCCCCGACCACCAGTGACCCTCCCCGCCGCCCCTTCCCAGTGCCCCATCGCTAACACCCACCCTAAGGTATCCCCTCTGGGACTATGGAGGCGAAGAGTACGTACCGTACAGAACCAGGGGGCAAATCCGGTGAGGGACCGCTCTGGGCAGGCTCCATGGAGGAGCTACTCGGGCCTGGCGTCTCCAGCGCCCCGGACATGCCCTCCCTGGCGCTTCGTCTCCATGCTCCGGGGGGACCGGTCCCGCTGCCGCTTCCAGCCTCGGCGGAGATGGTGTCCCGGTGCCCAGGTCGCGCTCAGGATTGCTTCCACGGGACCCTAGGCTTGGCACAGTTGGATTTACGGTGCAGGAAACTTAAGAGGCAAGGGAGGAAGGGGGGAACTAGAGGAGGAAAGAGAGGAAGGGAGGGAGGGAGAGGGAGGGAGAGAGGCGAATGCACCGGGATACTGCGCTGGACGGATTGGGACCCGGCGCCGGCTCTGGGACGAGCAGTCCAAGCCCCCAGCTTCCCGAGGCTGCCGAAGGATGGTAAAAATGACCTAAGGGGAGGAGACTGGGCAAGTCCTCAGAACTTGAACTTGAGAGATAAGACACTGGCCTTTCAGAAGAAAAAGAGCCGCACGGCAGTTGCAAGCAGTCCGAATTTCTGAAAGAGGGGGAGCGTGGCGAGAACCCCGAGGCTCCTGGCGCACGGAGCGGCCGCACCTGTCCCCGCGACGCTGGGAAGCCCCGGAGCGACTCCGGAGCAGAGTCGCCGGCGCTGTCTGTGGTTCTGCCCAGCCCCTGAGGGACACTCTTGAGTGCGCTGTGGGTAGGGGTGCAGACCCGATGGAGCTTTCTTCGTAGGTCCGCGGTTCCGCGTGCCTACTCCCTGATACGGGCAATTACATTGGCACGTGGGGGAACGATGCCTCGGAGACTAATTGGTACCGCATGTAAATAGATGCCGCTCCCAGGCTCTCAGCGGGCCTGGCCTGCGTGGAGACCTGGCTGCTGTGCTGTCTCTGGTGGCCACAGCGCCCCGTCCCCGGGGGACGTGAGTAGGACTGCGACTGCCCGGAGAGTGGCGGGGCGGTACGTAAGGCAGGAAGGGGCGCAGGACCGTGCAGGACTCCCCCGCCGGCCTCCAGCGCCGACCCTGGGCGCCGCGGACCTGTGGCTGCGGGGCCCCAGGCTGAGGCGCTGCGGACCGCCAGCCATTCAGCGCGCGACAGCCGAGAGGACTGGGCGACCTTGTGCGCTGACTCCTCTCTGCGGGCTGGGCCGAGCAAGAGGAGGAGTGGGGTGGGGGTGAGGGCTACCGGGTAGTGGAGGGGGGACGCTGGGGATACTTTGCCACCTCCCTCTTTCCTGACACCTCCTACTCCACCGGGGTCTCCCAGTCCTGGTCTCTTTGCTCTGACTGGAGGTCTGTCTCTGTCTTTCTCAATCTCTCCCTTGCTGTTTCTACCTCTCGGGATATTTTCTCTCCTTTTCTCGTCTTTCTTGGTTCCCAGACTGTCCTCAGGGTCTTCCTATCTCTGTATGTCTCTCTCGCGATTTCTGACTCTCTCCACCTCGGTATATTTGTCTCATCCTCACCCCTGCTATTCCCTATCACCCCGTGTCCTTTTCTTCTCCCCTTGCTCTCTCCAGCGCGCAACCTGGCCCCTGTCTGCTGAGATCCCGGAACCGGGCCATTGTGGTTGGTGCTGGCGGGAGGCCAGCGCCTCCTCAGCCTGCTCAGACTCCGTCCACAAGTCCCGGCTCTGCTGAGGGCATTTTTCTTCCCCCTACCTTGCCTGTTACTTCTCCAAGACTGTTCTTCACCAGAGCATGGCCTGGAATGATGCACACTTTGCAGGATGACAATTTGATATTAATCTGTAAGAGTTGGGTTGAAATTTATCTCTGGAGCCCAAGTTCGTAACATCAAAATAGAATCCTGCTTTCTAATGAGTGTGAGGGACTCCTTTTCTCCAACGTGGCTGTTGGACACCTCAAGCTCTACAGTTTCATCAATGCAAGGGAGGGGTGGGAGCTGGGGGTGGGGGTGGGGGGCAGATACAATGTATCCTCTACACAAGAGGTCCTGGGGAAACACAGGTTGAGTTCCCTTGGGGAACGCTAGTAACCTCCCACTCCCTCAACAGCAGTAACAATCAGCTAAACCACCCTTTTCTGGAACAGCAGAGAAGCCACACTGAGACCTGTCCCTGGAATCACACCTCCGATTTAGATTCCCTCTGTAGGACATATCAACCAGGCACTTTGAGGCCTACAGTCTCCCTTCCAACTAAAAATAGCTCTTACCTTTTTTTTTTTCCAACAGAGTACAGGGGAGGGAGGAGGGAGGGAAGGAGAGAAACATTGATGTGAGAGAGAATCATCGATTGGTTGCCTCCTGCACTACCCAGGCTGGGGCCAGAGATCGAACCTGCAACCCAGAATCGTGCCCTTGACCAGGAATCGAACCTTCACCCCTTCCTCCAGCTGAAGATCTAACTGCTGAGCCAAACTAGCCAGAGCTAAAAATAGCTCTTTAAAGAGCAAGCTCTTCTAATCTCCAAATTGTACTCTGCGCTGTGACCTCTTGGAATTCATTGGGGCATATGCAGTGTAAGACAGTGAAGCACACTTTCTAATTGGGACTCTGAGAATGCACTTAAGAAAAAGTACACATTTATATATAGCATACTTGCAATGTTATCTTGGCTATCCTCACTTACCAGGTTTTTCACACTCTTCAAAAGTTTAAAGAAGAAAAATAAATGTCTCAGGGCACTCATATCTGAGGCTGAAGGGTCAAGGTGAGGCAAGGCAAGCTTTGTCTGCGTCCACCCTCTGGGATTCAGGAGGCCATCCTAAAAGTGACCCCTATTTGTAGGAGCTCCCAGGCCCTCCTAGGGTGGATGGTCTGTGGAGTTGGAGTCTATGTAGCTTGCCTCTACCCAAATGCCCAAGCACAAGGCTATCAGAGCTAAACTTGCTTCTGACCTTTGGGAAGAAAGAGAAAGAATCAGGCCAGCTTTGGGATATACCAAGTTCTTTTCCAAACCAGACTTCAAAGCCATTCTACCTCTAGTGCCATTTAGCCTTAAAAAAAAAAAAAAATTACTGCTTGTGAAATAGAAAGATGATCAAGGACCTTAAAATCTCTGTCTGAATGGAACTGATTATTTAAGAAAAGCACCACAGGCTCCTGGTAATGGGAACTGGCCTGACACTTTGTTCTATGACGCAGGGTGCCAAAAAGCTTTTTATGGTAATGACCTGAGACCTTCTACCCAGACATTCAACTCTTACCCAGCCCTATGAGACACTTGGCCTAGGCTATAAAACAGCAGTCAAATGTCTTTGTGTGTGTGTGTGTATTTTTGCAGAAGTCTTTATTTCCTGTAGTAGTCAATCAGAAAAGGAGACTGAGCCAAGTAGCACTGAAAATCTTAATCATTGTTTCTGCTAAATCTCTCTAATTTTAATGACATAATATTAGAGGGTGGGGGAGACAAGGATGGCTCACTCACCCTCTTTCTTTCCTAACATTTACTTTAAAAGAACTAAAACCAATAAGGGCGGGATTCTCAGACATGATTCTGTGTACAGTGTCAGCCTACACTGAAGTGCCCCCGTAGAACACATCTTGTAGAGCACATCAGCCTTACAGGATAGAACAGAAGTGTGATTATCCGTCAGGAGAAGGATATTTGTATCAATGTTTTTAGACTCTACTCATGTTGAGAATCCTTTCGGAAATCGCTCTCTTTCTAAATTTTGTGTTTAATGTAACTTAATATACATATAAACTTAGCATGGATGATCACCAAAAGATAACACAACCTCTGCCCTCTGCTTTTCCCCAAGTCTACCTGATCAGCTCTGAAATGAATAATATAAAGCAATAATATATATTTCTCTCCAGGAAATATATATTTGAAAAGAATTTAAAGGGGCTGACCTCAAAAGAAAAAAATGTGTGTGCATGTGTGTGTGTGTGTGTGTGTATTTCAAATCTTACTCAAGGATATGTTTTTATTGATTTTTAGAGAGAGAGGAAGGGGAGAGAGTGAGAGAAGGGTGAGGGGATCAAACCCGAAACTTTTTTTTTTCATTTTTTGTTCAGATAGAGTGGGAGGGAGAGAGAAACATCGACGTGAAAGGGACACAACGAGTGGCTGCCACCCGCACGACCCAACCAGGGTCGGGGACAAACTGCAACCGAGATACGTGTCGAAACCTTTTGATGTACAGGATGATGTTCCAACCAACCAAGTCACCCGGCCAGGGTAGAAAACAATGATATTAAATCATGACCCTGAACACAAGAAGAAAATAAAATTAGAATTCATCTGAAATATACTAATAATTCTGTTAACTGTAATGAGCTGTTTTGGTTGACTTGGTTTGGTTCATTTACACGATTCTCTTTTTCTGATGGAGAGAGGAAGAGCAGGAGTTACAAGTACGAATTATCTTGGGGCTGAGAAGAGGAAAAGAAAGAGCTTAACTTTGAGTTCTATAAAACTATCTTAAAATGAACCTTTCTTAAAATGTATGATTATCTTTTACCCCAAATCCAAGTAAAAACAGAAACCTGTTGTTATGAAGCACCCAGCTGTGGTCTTGCTTAAGCGTCAGGCCAAACTATATATCTGTGTACACAGAGCACTGCATTGTGCCTATTTTTTCCCTAACAGTGACAAAAAAAACTTACAAAGCATGTATTATTCTTCTACCCTGACCTTGGTATAACCTGGTATTTGCATGTTTTATGACCTTGGGCAAGTGCCTGAAGAGTCCTTTGGCCTCAGACCCCTCATATATATATAATAAGGAAGTAGAGTTAGATGATGTCTAAAGTATCTTCCAGCTCCAAAATTCCTTTATTCAGTTTCTGGATAATTAAATGTGAAGTCATCTCATTTCAAAAACTTACCTCACAAATAATAATTGTATGCTGCATTACAATTTTCAAAGGTATTAAAATTAAAAAAAGATTTTTTTACTTCAAAGATTTTAAGTCAGCTGTGTCCGTGGGTTTGCACAAAGGCCTCTTTTGTGCATGTCTTCTCTTCTCCGTCCTCATAACCTTTCTTCTAGGCCGAGGGTTAACGCAATTGTATTAATTATATCATTTTTTAATATAAATTGTTCTGCAAATGTTTTTTAATGTCTTTGATGAGCATCGACATTCAGAGTGGCATCCTTATTATATTTACGGGTGCTTGTTTAAAAAGACCCAAAGCCATTTTCACTACTTCTGCAGAATTCTTAAATGTCACTCAGGACAACTATGAAACCCCCTGGCCTCTCCACCCCGCAACCTGTTTTGCTAGTGGGAAGAGGAAGTATCATCTGCAAAGTGATTGGGTATATGAATGTAGTAGAACTTGGTTAATAACTATAAGGCATGTGCGCTAAATTACCTTTACAAGAATGCTTTAATAACAAGATCATTGGACTAGAGAGAGAAAATAGCCATCAAGCTCGGGAATAAAGAAAAGGAAAGGGAACCAAGGGCTTTATGTAGAAGGCATTTTCTTTTTTTAGGGGTAATTTATATGCTCAGTCTTTGTATCCATATTTTATTTATTCTGCTAGGTGAGGACAGAGGGTTGTTAAAGGTAAGGCAGTTTCATTTACACTCACAAACTTTAAAAAGAGAATGAGCACCATAAGGAAAAGAGAAGAAAGTCAGCATTTAAAGGGGCAGTTGAATGTAAAAGATGGGCAGATCAGGGTCACTGCCCAGAAAACATAATGAAAAATTATTAAATATTTTGAATAAGCAAATCTTTCCATTATAGTCTAATTATAGAAATTATTCATGGGGGTCTCTTCGGGGATTATTAATTGGCAATTCCCTAAAGCAGAATCATTAAAGACAAAGAACTTGATAACCAGTTCTGTTAACAAAGCAAAATACAGTGTATGCTTTCAGCCAGAAGGAACGCTGGGCACTGGAGTTTGAACCACGTAGGGATGGAAGAAATCTGAGAACTGAAAACATGTCTGAAAATGCACATTTCATCTCCAAGCCCTAAAATGCCTGGATATTCTGAAATATACATGCTTTTTCAGCTTTTATCCTGATTTGGCAATATGAAGACAGAACTTGAAAACAAGAGGATTTACACAGGCAAGGAACAAATGGCCCCCTTCAACCCAAATATTAGACTGACAAGAATAATGTCTGGGATTAGATATCTTTTAAATAAGAGATATCACAAGGATGCAAGAACCTTC